GGTCAACTTCAAGATGTCCAAGAGCAGATAAGTCAATTTTTTTTTTTTTTGTGTTTGAATTCTCACGGTAACCAATTTAACATTGGTGCCGTGACCTCTGCTTAGTGGGGGATCGGATCGAGAATTGAATTTGGATTTTGAATTTACCTATTTTGTGTAATTTACTTTTTCAGAAGGTGTTAAATTTTATGTGCTAGGATTAATTAGAGTTTTTGATTTGTGTTTGCTTATTTGTTAATACGAGAGTGATAAAGTTTGAAAATGTGTGTGAATTTCAAAAATTTTGGACTTTAACGTTAGGCAAACAGAACTGAACTTTAAAATTAGGAAAAAATATATATTTTTAATGTAGCAGAATAGGTACTGTACATTTTTACTGTTGAAAATCCTTGAGTGTTTTCTGGATGTGTATATTTTTGATTTCTGATTTCTGATACAAGATGGAAAATGAATTATTTCACGATAATCCTATGCTATTTGTGTATCCTTGTATACAAGTTTCGAGTGCTTGTCGGTAAAAACTGGACTCATTTTTTGAGCACTTCTAAGAGAAAGCGAGACTTAAAGACTCTAATTATTTTACTGAATGAGACAAGCCATAGCTATGCGTAGCTAGAAATTTTTTTTTTGTGTTTTTGCTAACTTATTTAACCTAGAATCTTGTGAAATGTGTAATTGTGAGGGGTAACGTTAGAGAAATTTTGATTTTTTGACTTAATTGAATAATATTTTGTGAAATGTATGTAATGTTTTCATGATTCTCTAGCGTAGTATATTATTGCTTTTTGATTTACAATGTTTTGTTATGATTCCAGTATATTGTGTAATGTGTTAGAAAATTTAATTTAGTATTGAGCAATGAATTTTATAAGTTCTTAAGGCATAATGATACAAATGAATGAGTTAGAAAAATTGAAGATTGTTTTTTTTTTCAATTGCAAAATTCTGTTTTAAAAGTAACATGGGTTAGATTTGAATTTTTGCCTGAGATCAGCAATAGTGATGTTTGCATATTTAATTTTTTTTTTTTTGGATTGAATTCTTCAGCTTGAGTGAAGTTCTAATTAGTTTAATGAGTCAGAGTAATTGAGATTAGTTATCTTCTGAGTTTTAAGTTTGTGAAGAGTTGTCATGTGAGAATTGTTTAAACAGTAGAAATTGAGTTAGTCTTGTGAATTGTAGAAAGTGAATTTTAATGAGAATTTTGTGTGACAACGGGAATTTGTTTTGTGTGAAATTTTTGAAATAAGTTTGAGAAGATTAGTTACTTTTGCTCTGTACTCATGTGTGGGAATTTTCTGTTGATTACAAGTAGTTTGTCTTGAATTTGCTAGTGAATCGTAATAGATTTGATTTGAGTTATTGAATTTTCTTTCTTGGTTGGACTTGTTGCTGAATTTGGGGTTAATTCTTGTTTTGGCTTAAGTTTTGTATTTGAATTGGTAGTATCAAGATAGTTGTATCAGGTTTTTGTTTTGTTTTGGTGGTTTCTGCCAAGGTCCGTAAAATGTAAGTTCTCTGATGTTTAGTTTCTGTGGAAGAATTGAGATTTCTGTGGTCATAGGAAAATAGTAGAATTTGAGTTATGGATTTCATTTGTGTGATTTTTAGGGATTTTTGAGTTACGAGTTATGAGTATTTTTTTTTTAGTTTAGCACTTTTGAGAACTTTGCATTTGTTGCTTGCAGTTAGGTCTTGCGTGAAGTTGTAATGTCCTGAAAGCTCGTTTTCTTGTAAATACTTGCACTTCATGGTGGCACTTGACCTCTTACACCGGGGCAAACAGGAACTTGTTATCTGAGAAAACTATTGTTGTATCTTTTTCATTGTGTTGGTTCAGGATTGTAACGTTTCAGTCAGCGCACTTTTCTTTCCGAGATAAGAGATCTTATGTTCTCTTTCAACGTGTCTGGGGGTTTGCTTGATACGTAAAGTTTGAGTCTGTCATTCATAATACAGCGCTTTTCTCAGCTTACATGGACGCGGTAAAGAGTTACTTTGTTTCTTTTGTTTGGGTGGAGGTGTGTTGCTGAAGGCTGCTACTTAGGTTACTATACAACGTTTTGGAAGAGTCTGATGCAGAATAGATCTCAGTTTTTGCCTAAAATTGTTGGGGGGTTGTTTTTGAACACTTTTTTTTTGATTTGTGATATTTTATTTAGTGTTCTAGTAACGTGCTTCAGTCCAGCTTTGATTGATTGATTTCTTTGACTAGTTGAAATTTTTTTTTTGTGGACCTAATGGATTTTTAGAATTACTGAATTTTTTTGGTGTTGTCTTACTAAGGGGACTTAAGTTTGGTGTTGTTACTCACTAGTGTTTACCGTGAGGTTTGAATTTTTAGCGACACTTCACTCTTGCTGGTTGATATTTTTGGGTTGATTTGAATTACAGTGAAATATTTTTTTTTTTTGACTTGATATGGTTTTAACATAATGACTATTTGTGTATTTGTTTAGGTAGTGCAATTTAAAATTTTTTTTTGTTTAGGTATCACTGATCTCATTGCTCATTTGAATTATGTACGAAATTTTTACAGTTTAATTGTATTTTCATTTTATGTGTATATGTGTATCTTGGTAGTATTTGTAAATTTTTGGCCAAACGTTATTTTGTATATGCATTAGGTTGTATTATTATTATTATTTTTGTGTGTTTGGATAAAATTCTAATTGGTATTTGCACAGCGTATTTGGTTATATTTCATTTCGGAATTGATTTTGGTTGGATTGAATTTTTGGACAATCACGTTTTCTTCTTTCTGATTTTTTGTGTGGGGTATTTTCGGCTGGTTCCGAGGTTCCTTGTGTTGTAACGTTCTTTTCTTTTCTAATGCTTGGCCCTGATCAGGCCGCTTCTGTTCTTAGACGTGATTGTTTGGGATTCATTCTTGGAAGTTATTCAATTTCGTAGTACTTAAGGGGGTCTTTACTCTTTGTTTGAATACGTTCATGTGACATATTTTATTTGGAATTGTTTGAATTATTAATGTGTTTATTTTCTCAGGAATGTATTTTATGTATCTGCGGCGCGTTAATTATCTTATTGATTGATCTTAGACATATTTTGTTTGTGATTAACGCCTTATTTATATTTTTATTTTTGTATGTGTTCTGAATATTTCTAGGTAATTAAGTGATTTAATTGATGTTTTGATTAATTATTTTTGATGATCTTCCTTGAGTATTTTAATTAGTAATTGCTTTGATTAATCTTGTTGTTTTACTTGCACATTTTGGACTTTAAATTTAATGTGTCAGTGACGTCACTGTTACCAAGGAGTCGTGTGAAATATTGTTACAGTATGTTATCCTTTAGCCTTATTGCACAGTATGAGTCATGGTATTTCAAGAAGTGTCTGTCTGCTAAATTTTGGTAAACCAAAATTTAATTCCTTAGGGGAAAGGAATGTTATGTAGAGAAATTATCTGATAGCGTTATAGAAAATTAGGTGAATGATTTTATGATTTATGGAAATTTAAATTTTATTTTGATTCTGAATTATTTAATTTAAGGCTTTAATTTTGGGGAGAAACAGATGCTTCTGGAAATATTATTTAGTTAAATGAATATTATTTATTTTCCTCTATTTGCAAATCTTGTACAAACTTTTATTCATTGTGAAAGAAGCAGGGAAAGGGAGGCAATTTTCGCCAAGTCATGATTTCGCGCGCTTTAGAATGTTCGAGAAAGAATTTTCATTGTTAGTTGACCTTAAGAGAGGAAAGTACGTGACGGAAAGGTCAAAGGTTGCTACTTGTCTTTGAATGTAAGTCATTCAGGTTTTTGGCGATTGAGGGTCCGGTTGTTGGCTAAGTGAAGAAGGGCGCGCATGCGCGATCACCCTTTTTTCCGCATTCTGGAGTTGAAAACGAAGATTTTGCCATAATTAAGGGGGCGATAAGTGAAGCCATAGTGGGAGCCCGCGTTGGTGAAGGAGACGAAGGAAAATTCGAGTTGGACTCACTTTTTTGGCTGACTCTCTGACTGACTCGCTGATTTTCGGGCTTGCTGGACAAAATGTAATTACGAAGCGAGATGTTTTCCGGCGGGGAGCGGCAAATATGCTCCCCGGCCGCGTTTTGGGGTTAAGAGGCGAGACTCTCTGACTTTTTTGACTCTCACTCTTGGACTCTGGACACACTTACTCTTGGACTCGCTTAGGCACTCACGTTTGGATTCGCTGACTTTCGGGTTCGCTGGACTTGTGGACGTTGCTCTTGAAAACTGGCTTGAAGAAAATTGGAGTTGGATTCTCTCCCTTACTGACTGGTGGGGGTGGAACTGGGGGTGGAACTTACTTGGGTCGTTACTCGTGAAGCTTGCTCTTGGGATGAGTAAGAACAGGCGAGCTGAAATTGCCTAGAAAAAACGTTTCTGACCTGAGCTGAAAAACCCTCTTCCTTGCGGCGTGCTGGTAAAGAGGCGAAATTTGAACGAGTTACCTGCGTGTTGACATAGGACTTTCAGGACCAAGCGGATAGCCGTCCTGGGCAGCAGTGCTCCTGTTTCTGTTCTACAGTAGTGAAGTGGAGTCTACATTTTTAGAACCAGTGTCAAGATGAGCCCGGCCGACATCAACGCTTGATAAGATAAGAGTCCTCCCGCTTCAAGATGTCCCCTCAAGATAAGTTTTATTTTTTTTGGTGTGTTTGAACTTTAGGCAAGTTTTTCAAAAACGTCCTTAGCAGTAAAAAACAAACGTCGAATCTAAAATTTAAACTCTCAGGCCTTAAATTGTTTCCCTTTCCTTTCTTTTAAATCACCAGACAAACCTTAAGTTTTTTTATGAATTTAAATGAACAGACTCTCAGATGAGGTTAAGATTTTTCTTATTGTTGTGTTGTAATTGAATAAACTGATATTTAATCTGGAACCTCTTACAGTATGTTTTCTTTATATATTTAATATGAACTTTTCCTTTATATCTTGTATATGTTTTATGTTTTCGATCCTCTCACGGCGCGGTCCCGGGATGCATTTTTTTCACAACGCAAAAATGCTGTACACGTTTCACTATACGATCACTCCCTTTAACGGCAAGTAGTTTCATATTTAACATTTAACAATATAGTAATTTCAGATATAACATGGTACCTTGAAGGAAAGCTATGTAACCTATGTCGAAACTTTCTTCATAACACTTAAGACTTTCGTTGTAATGATGAAGACGGAGAGATTATTCGTCTGTCTTTCACTATTACAAAATGTCTCTCGAAGAGAGTCTGTGGGATTTGAATTAATAGTACACATAATAGGACCCTGTAATATTATGAAATTTGGTGCTCCTATTTCACTGGTAAAGCGGTTTTAATAACATTAATTTATAGTTATATTCGGAGTTTAGCATTTATGGAACTGTTTTATAAAATGGATCAGAAATATTTCAGAAGTTTCTAAATATCCTTAAAATTAACAGAATAAAGTAATTAATAATTGAATTCTTCCATTTACAAACATAAGACATTTTAGCTCTGCTGTGAACAATATATCTGAATTGCAACATGAATTTTGATTTTTTCTAGCGTCAAATATTACTATTAGTAAGTTGTTACTTACAGATTGTTATCTGAAAATTTTCATTTTAAAGATTCCAAAGAGTATTTGCTGTTGCGGAGAAAAAGATCTATACTTTCCTATTTTCTGTCAGCCATAGCAACTCTTTGGGCACTTGAAATTGGATTTTTGATTATGACTACATTTCAAAGTCTTCTTGTGTCCAAACTGACTTTAAATAAACCACAACCGTTGGTGGATACTGTGGATGATTTTGTCAAGAGGAAGTCGATTTTGGGTGTTGCTCCAGATAACATACAACTTTCTCACGTTCTAGAGGTAAGAATATGGTATGAACTCTAAAGTTGCGCATATGTATAAAGAAAAAATATTTCAATAGTTTCAAAAGAACCGTGCATATTTATATTTATTGATGTTCAAAATTAAAGTTACAAATACATGTTTTTCAACAATTCCAAATTATATCCAATAATAGTTTAAAACTGATATCATACATAATTTGGGAACACTAAACATTACGCATCTAGTGTTTGTTTAAGGGTTAAAAAGATGCGGTTTTATTTTCTCTTTAAGAAAACGTGAAAGTGACCAGTTTTCCAATTTGTATAATTCGTCTACAAAATGGTATTTCATAGACGAAAAATCACAGGACTGACTGATTTTAGTTAAACTGAGTTTTGCAATCATTCAGAAGATCTATTTAGATACTGATCCATCGGTAGACTTGAGGCTTGCCAGTCTCTAACGAAGACTCCTTGACTGTTATGAGTGTCACGAACGCTGGCATTCAGTTAGAGGTACTAATTTCAAACTACAGGAAGACGTGCCAGTGCCATCGAAGAGTCATGACACCTATGAAGACCGATACGTGGCATTAAATGTTCGGAGCTATAGAGACTGGGATGCTGGGAATGTTCTAGGAAAAGTCATTATGTGACGGCAATACCCTACTAGGATCCTTCATGCATTTAAACCGTTAGTTTTAAAAGAATGGGATTTGTTGCTATGGGATCAGCAACCTTATTTACACTATAAAGACCCTTTTTGAGGCATTTAAAATTGTGTGAGATAGTCACACTCTTTGTTAGCTGGATTATTATAGATGGATGAGGTGTCATGTTTTAATCGCTTTTGGATTTGTTTGCATACGGCAAAACGTTTATCTTCTGTTTTTGTTATGTTACTGTTGGCTGTGTCAAAGTATTAGGGGCCTGTTCACAAATTTTCCTCATAGTAAAATGCTTTTTGAGATATCATATGTTCCGTGTTTGTAATCTTAATTTTGGACACCAGTATGCATTTGAGGAATCAAAATTTCATTCAGAGACATTTTAGGGAATATTACGAAGGCAGGTTAATCCTGCCTAATAGAGGTATTTGATCACTGGGTTGTAACTAGCGACTGAGTTTTGTTGTAGGATATCTTTAAATATGGCACATTTTTTGCTTCTTCTTTTAATAATAAAAACAGAGAAATCTTTTATTTTTTCTCTCAAATTTTTCTTAAAATAGATTAACTTTTAAGAGGAAAATATCTTTTTAGGTAAAAAATGTGATATTCAATAACATCGAATCATTTTCTAAACAGCATAATTAATTTTTTAACTAAAATAATAATGCAATCACGGGAGAAATTTATTTTAATTAATATATTACGTTATTAATCTTATTTGATTCATCTAAGCTTTATTGTCGAATGGGCTTTATTATTATTATTTGTTAAGAGAAGCTGAAATAACAATTGTCTATATGTAACAAATCAATATTAATTAATGTTTAATTGTAAGGAATTTTTATCTCCCTCCTTTGTGGTATAAATAGTAGTAAGTTCGGCTAGCAATCGAAAGATCAGGGGCTCGAATTTCGGAGAGAGATCGTTTATTTTTGCTTGTTTCCTGCTTTGAAAAGCTTAATAAACTCTAAATAATTAACACAATATCCTTTAAAAAGTTGATTTAATGTATTAATGCCTCAGCTCAAATACCCTGATAGCTTCTAGATAATTATTTTCAAATTATTCCGTATTTCAACACTAAAAAATTACATTTATTATTCAATAATAATAGTAGAATATTTTAAAAACAGTGGCCAAATAAATTAGATTTTCAATATTTAAATGTTCTAAGGCTAAAAATTACCTTCTTACTCGAGAAATTAATTCAGCAAATCAGCTTATTTCGGATTAAAAAATACATATAAACTAATACTTAATACTATATATTAAATAACATTATTATTACATAATATATTACTTAATATTATATATAAAATAAATAATTTCTATACTTCTTTCTTTATTATTTAATAGCATTCAGGAATAGAAGTATATGAGAAAGCTTGGGAAAAAATTAAACGTAATCAGAGACCACCTGAAATTGCGCTTAGTGTTGAATCCCTCCTTGAAGTGGAAAGTGGAAAGATATGCCTTTTTCATGGTCACTTAATCATCAAACATCTCCTTAGTGATTTCTACAGAAAGAGAACCACATGCAAGTTACATCTCTCGGACAAATATTTCTTTCCTTTCTTTCTACCAATGATTCTTAGCAGAAAAATTCCCTACTCATTTTATGAAAAGTTTAATATGGGGTAAGTTTATTTAATACTTTGATAGTAAGATTTTACGCATCATTTGCTTCTTTACTTGATTAAGGATAGTTGGATAACAGTTCTTTTAAAGAGTGTTCGAGTATAAAAATTGAATTGCGTAATACATTTTGTGATATTTCTTTATACCTGTCGCTTTAACTATTATCATGACATGTTATTTTTCATAAGCGTCTCACAAACGATTCGTATTTTAAAATTAGTAACTAGGACCAACGTTAGGATGTAAGGTCTGCAATGTTTTAACTTCATAATTAATTCACTTCTATGATTAGTTCTGTATTTCCACTAACCGAGGATATCATTAGCAGAGAAAGCATTTATTTTCATCCTCAATTTAGCTGTTATAAATTTTATTTATGGTTTGTAAGATTCTAGCTAAATTAACGTTACTTTTGCTGACTAGATTTTAACTTGAACTGTGAGGTGACTATTCGCTAAGTTCAATTGTATCAATGACAAGGTATCCGAAAGGTGAAAAGACGCTTTTATTCAACTCAAGAAATATTTACACCCGGCACTCCTGGTGCTAACAAAACCAATACTTTAGGCTTTAACTCAAAATAGAAATATAAAATTTAAACTAAGATAAATAATCATTCGAAGCTGCACACAAAAAAATTAACTTGAGCTGGCTCTGAACCCTATCACTGTCTTAAAAAATCTGATGTGTACACCACATGACTTACTTGTACGGAATATTAAATTATACGCATTTTTTCTTGCATTTCATTTAAACTTATTGGATTGAATTAAATCTACTTCTCTGACAGCGCATAAACCACAATAGAATAAATGCATTCTTTAAAATTCACTCTAGTATTTTTTTACCATAGCGACACTCTGGCGCTAGATTCACATAACAGTATTATATTTCTTTCATATTATAACTCATAATGCACAAAATTTATATCATTTAAAGCATAGAATTATCTAATCGTTGCCACAAGTTCTATTCAAATACTATAATAAAGCTAGAATGATGTATAAAAGAAATTAAGCAAATAAAACAAAAAAGAAACAGTTTTTCACGGACGATTGAGTATTTCTCATTCAATTAATTCAGTTCTCACTTTGCGAGAAGGCAAAAATACATAAAAACTCAAAATATCTATATTAAAAATTACGAAGTAAATCTTAAACACTTATTTCCTCGAAAAAATTCCAGGAAGGATTAAGCATGATTTAATTCGCAATAATAAATGAAGGCGTTATCTTTGTTGTTGCGAAACTAGTTTCTCTAGATTGGCAACAAATGCACTAATCTACTGTTTCAAGTGTAAACAATCAATGGCCGCCATAAAAAATGGCTTAGCGGCACTTAAACAACTTTAAAATTTTTGATAATTCTAAAAATATCGCATACAGATTTACTAAAGGCATAAAAACCTTAACCGGAAGATAAAAACAACATAATTCAATCATTTTTAATGCAAAAAATGTACAATTTACAAACATATAAGTGTAGAGAAACTGAGATCACTGAGCCGGGTAACAGAGTGGATATATATATAATTATATTTATATACGTTTGGTGCGGTCAATTGCAACCAAAATACGTGGTGCACATCTACATGTTATAGCAGTCCTATATACAAAATTTCAACGTTCTGAGGCTACTCGTTTTTGAGTTATGCGAGATACGTACGTACGTACGCACGTACGTACTTACGTTCGTACAGACGCCACGAAAAATTCTCTTCAGAATTAATTTTAAAACAGTTTCATAATTTTTTTGGAGGAAACGAGTCTTTTATTCTGTCCTTACGTACAGATATCACGCAAAAACATCGTTAAACTGCATTCGATAACGGTCAGAATTGATATTTTCGTTGAAATATGCTGCCTGAAACTTTTCGCGATTACAATACTTCTTTTTTTTTCGTACAAGGAAGTAAAAAAAAAACTGCAATTAATATGCTCGGCCTTAAAATAGCAAGATTAATTATCAGCGAAACAATTGTTGCCGTTAATTTGGAAACTTGCTCCGCTGTTTTATTGCTATGGACTTGAATATGAGACGATATCCACTGGAGCTTCGGTTTCGCTTTCCCGGAACAATGATACTGAAAACTTCTGAATTTTTTGTACGATTAAGTTTTGCATCAATTTCCATGAACTGATTAGGAGTTTGAGTTTGCTTTATGGAGAATATGTAGAGATGTTATAGTAAGATCCGTCAAAGATGCTGAAACTCGGTGGCTTTTGAAAACTCTCGACTTTATCTACAGATCACCCTTATGATGCGGACATTCTGGAAGAGAACCTTTCGTATGATCAAAAATTTAAGTTGTGCGTGCATAGCAAATTTCTTCTAAAATTAAAGGAGTACACTATGAGAGACTTGCTCCTTGTTTTGGTAATGAGGTGTAGTTACCCCTGATGTCGGAAACTGTGCTGTATGGAACTTATTTTTGTAGTGTTGTGCATTATTTCTGTTTATTTATTTATGAATATAAAGCATGCTCTGTGATGACTTCACATTTAATGACTTTACATTTTGTTTAATCTTGAATTTTTCGGGTCATCTGTTTTATTTGTATGTGTTTTTTCACGTATTTTATAGAATTTTTAATTCTGAACCAATTAATCTTAGAACTGCAAGACTAACTCAGTTAGAATCTGAGATATGGGCAGAAACCCTCTTATATATACTTATGGTTTACGATTTTAAATCACACTCGTGGCTATTTTCTTTTAAGAAAAACTCTTTCGTCTTTACCGTGAACCTGGAGAAAGTTATGAGTCCCTTAAAATAGGATTATTAAGCCAGTTAAAACTGAATGAGGAATGGGCAATCAACGTTCTTAAATTCACATATAATAGGTTCAAAATTTATATGAAAATAATAGTAAGATCTTTTGAAGGTAAAGGAATTGATATACTATTGCTTTATTCAATCGGTCATTTGCCAATATAATTATGCAAATTAAAGCTAAATTGTGGTCTTGTAATATTTTAAAGCAGCAGTAGACAAAAATAAAAACATGAAAAGCTGGAAATTAAGTAAGTAGAGAAGAATTGTAAATGCACAAGAGATGGAGATAATAGTAAACTATAAAACTATTATATATATTATTTATTATATAGTAATAAAAATAGAAAATCAGATGTTTTTAGCAAGAGAAAACAACCGTAAAAGGTAGTGTAGTATAAGTATGTATTTTTGAACGAGACAAGAAAATAGAAAATCGAGAGGCTGAAAAATCATGTTTTAATATAAATAAAGATAACTTTTTAGGAAACTCTCCTGGTTTAATACAAAATTCATTGCTATTAGAAAAAAAATATAAGTATTGACGAACTTTATCATCTGTCTAATAAACCGCAGAGCCATTTCAAACGTGCAACGCGACTTGCGAGGCATTGAATGAATGGAGTGTTTGATGCGATTTTGGGAATTCTTGTCCACTTTTCAAGAAAGGTATTTGCAACTGATGAATTATTAAACGTTGCGCTTTAACAGCAGCTCCCTTGTCTAATATTTATCAAGCATATTCTAGCGGATTCAAATGTGAGAGCATGTTGGTCATTTCATACGCTCTATTATTTCAAGAATCTGCTTTATAAATATAGTTGAATGAAATAAGGTGTTGCCAGGAGCAAAAAGGGCTAAATTGCTAATGGGGGTAATATAAGGCACGTGGCCCACCCAAATATGTCCTTGTACAAAGAAGTGCTTCAGCTCCAGCAAAACGTGATCTATCTTTGACATGCACTGAACTATACATGGTGCCTCATTCTTTCCAACTCAAAAGTCGTCAATTATCCGGGTTTGGATTGAACCTTGAATCAGAAGAGAAGTTGGCTTCTCTCGGCGGATTATTTATCAGAATGTTCAATCTTTACGATATCGAAATTCCACTGGAACACAAGCAGTTCTCCTGCATTCCTTTTGTTCTCATGTGTAAAGAAGTGTTCAGAATGTAAAGTAAGTGTCAATAAAATGTGCAGCTGTTTTAGGTACCAATCAAACCTTTATCTCTTGAAAGCCGTAAATGAATTCTATAGGTAATGACTTTCCTACCCGACAGGATCTCTCTATTTTCATGCTTTTACTGTTCGCTAGAATGCGCTTACATCCTGAAAGGAAACGTTATCATTCTACGCATTAGTTATTACTAATACTTGGGTTATGGGTTTTGCTTAATTGCTTCTTTTTTTGCTTAAATGAATTTTCTTCTATATTTACCAATGTATAATAATTAATGTTTCTTTGGATTCTAAATATCAGTGACATAGTTGTTTTAAAAAATGAAGAAGCCAAAAGAGGTACGAAATCGGATCTCTTTATTTATGAATCATAAAAATTTCAGACCGCATGTGTTTGAGATATAAACTTATGCTTAATATCAATATAGTTCTTAGTATAACACATGTGAAATCTCTGAGATATTATAGATTTTGAAATAGTTATGATTATATGTAATAAAAAGCAATAAATATGATTATAATATGCAATTTATGTAATAAGAGTCTATGTTTCATGTTTCCAGCAATAAGCAAGTAAATGTAATTTTATCCAATAGACGAGCATTATTCACAAAAATGCTTTAAGTTAAATCTTTTTAGAATTAACTGCTTTACAGTGCATGTAAATTCAATTAAATATTTAAATGGTGTTATTTGAGTAGAAGTGAAAACTTACTTGTTAGAATGTTTATAATTCAAATGATTTAAAAATTTTTTCATTCGATTTCTTTTTCAGAGTAACTCGTCTTGTAGATGCCGATCTGCCAGGAAAAGCATTTAAATCGGATCTCCGAGATGCCATTCTTTGTACTAGCCACTTTGAGAATGAGTTAAAGCCTCTCGGATTAGAAAATATATACGGAGTTCTGCTACTGTGGGGAGCCGGATTGATTATTGCAACAATTACCCTTTTCTGTGAAATAGTGCATGAAAAATATAAGAGATATTTTTAATAACCCTAAGTGATTTCTAAGGGACATGTCTTGGAAAAATGAACAAGAAAATAATATTAATCAACTATGAAGAAACATTAGTTTATTTTAATATTTCTTCTACATTTTGGAGAAGACAGTCTGAGGATAAATCCTAACGTCTTTATCAGGGTTAGAAAAGAACACTGGAATGCAGTAATCATGTAATTCTTGAATTTGCCTGTTTTTCAATGAATTACGAAATGATTAAAAATTTGTTTCCAGGCAACATTTAAAATTATTTTGCATTAATCATTTATATATACTTTTAATTGTCTGAAGAACAATTAAAAGTATATTCTTCAGATATGATTCATTAGAATGTAAAAAAAGCTTAATCACACAAAATAAAATTAAAAATACAAAATAAGAAAATTTAGACTTGAAAGGAATATGAAAAATGTTTGAAACAAATTGAAAAGAAGACTCTTTATGCCTTAGTAATCCTGCTTCATGTTTATGTCGAAATTAAGATAAGTGAACCTGGTAAAGTAAATTAAAAATGGTGATGTGAAAAGACTTTAAAATTACTAATTTAGAATAATTATACTTTCTTTCCAATAAAAATAAAACACATTATATTTATATTTACATGGCCATTAGAAATGATTTTTTTTATGATTTAAAACGCTATTTTACACTCTACAAACTATTTTACACTCTACAAACTATTTTTTTTTGGTGTAAGATGTAAAAAATATCAACAATAGTTTGTCTTAGTTAGCACTTGATCCCTGGATCTTTCCATATTTATGTGTACTTTAATCACTGACACTATGAGAGGATGCATATAAAAATGTGATAATTCTATTGGGAAGGGCTGGTTACAGCATTTTTTAACTCTTTAATAGCTCAGATTTCATGTCTTCATTCCTTTCTTAATCTTCAAACAGAAAAATAATTTTGTTAAAATATGAAATCTGTTATATTTCAAAGATATTTTAATTAGTCTCATATTACATGTTAAATCAACCTAAGGAGTTACATGAAAATTTTATAAAAATGAAATTTGGTTTCATTTATGCTGCTTCGATGTTAAAAAAAAGTAAATTAGCTTACTTCCGATTGAACGAAAATTCTATCTTCCTAACGGTTATCATGAAATGGTTTCAGGAAACGCTGATTTATGCAAATGAGGAAGTAGTTTAAAACGTTTGAAGTAAGCAGGCTGTTTTTAATTAATTAGTTTCTTGACACCACGAATATTTAAACCTATTTTGTGAATTCTTACGACTGATTTCGTTTTTTTTTTTTTTTTAAATTCAGCCATAATTAGCATTTAAAAATCAGCACATATCTTAGTTTTCTAAATGAATATATCTAGCCTGTAGTGGAATCGAACGTTGTATTTGTAAATATCATTTGAAATACATTACATACTTAGATTTACCACCCTGAAAGGTGAAGCAGTTTCTGTTTTAATTCCTTAAATTAAAATACAATTCAATGCTTCATTCTGGAGGATTAGTTTGTAATATCATAGCTAATTTAGTGTTCTCTAAGAGCTGAAATATTGAAGAAATCTGTAGCGACTATTCGCTGAGTTCTTATGAGGTTAACTTACCCTTTATTCCAACTCGAAGAAAATGAACCGATGGCCCCTTCTCGGGCTTACAATAAGCCTTCCCTTGGGCTTTAAATCAAGATAAAATTATAAAATATTAACTAAAATCAACCACCCGAAACTGCACAGAATCAACTAACGGAGTTGGCTCTTATTTAAGATCACCGACGGATACTAGCAGTCGCGTAACAATACGACCTTGTAACAGTAAGCTTAGACTAGCAGCAAAAACGTGGTCGAAAGGCAGAGCACGCTTTTCTACTGAAGTGACCCAGACTTCTGGTTAAATACTCGTTTCTACCTCATTTACATAAATCATAAACCTGAAAACTCATTCTGTTAGGGAAGCGTAAGTGGATTATGAGAAGGTAAAGGAAAAGTTTGTTTTAAAATAAAAATAACTATTAAAAATAAAGTAAACCCTACTAGCTTTCATCTTAGACATGTTAGTTCTTGGGGGGTGGGGTTGAATAGAAGGAAATATGATTGGCAGCTATCATATAGTTAATTCTAATGATGGTATGACCTCGTTGGGCTGTTTTCATAGCTTTCTTGTTTTTCTTATGATTTCAAGCTTATGTAATTGACTGAAAGTATATCTAATCTAAATTAAATCTTTTGTCAGCAATGTGTGTTCTTCAGAACTTCAGTTTATTAATTGTCATAAATAAATATGCTTTCAATTTGAACTCTTAAAAGTGATTCAGACTTTTCAAATCAGGATGACCGTTATGAACCTTCGGTAACAAAACAAAACAATAATAATAATAATAATAATAATAATAATAATAGCCTTTCAAGTTTATGAATTCCAATAACATTTAACCAGCTAGTATTATATTAGGCTGTCCCAAAAATTTCTTTCGTGATTTGCACGCAGCTAATTTACACTGACTTCCAAAAGCTAATTACGGAATGCAAATTAGCAATTTTTGAAAGCATATTTGAATTTGAGTGCTGAAACCTGCTGTGGATTTATATGCTAGTGCGCAAACATCGTATGTTTGCAAATTTTAATCGGCTGTGCGGAGATATACTAATTAGGCATTTTAAAGGATTCGCGTAAATGCTAATGCAAAGTGAATATAACATTCGTCGGATAATTTTCAATGATATTCATGTTTCTATGGCTCATAAGCATACGAATGGCAAATAGTGAGGCGGTGGCTCTCGGACGCATTGAAGCAGGACAGTCAATGAAAAATGTCACTCTTTTCTTTGGCATTGAAAATTCGGCAATTTCTTGAATTTGAAAACAATTCCAAAGAAGTCAAATAATTGTGCTCAGTAGTTTTCGACGGGTTATCACCACTTTTGAAGATTTGCATATTGCTACAACAGCCAAGCGAAATCGACAAACTATTTCCTCAACAGTTAAACCAATCATTGCAGAGTCACTTCGTAAGGTTAGGTTAGGTTATTAAATTACGGCAAAGCCTCGAGGGCTATCTGCCCAAGGGGAGGAATGCCTTCGTGGAGGTCTTTCTAAGGGAAACTGACTCGCATACACGTTACACATGGTGAAAACCATGAAAACACCCATGCAGCCAGCCCGTTCGCAGGTTTTGAACATCAGACCGAACTACCAGTGTTCAGCGACTTTACCGCTCGGCCGCTGATGGGCGTCAATTCGTAAGACAGTATCTGCCAGTACTATGCCTCGTAGGCTTCATATGAAAAGATAGTACACAAGAGTATTCCACTAAGTGACTAATCCAGAAGGTAAGATTAAACTGGGATGGGGAACATTTCAGTTGGGATGTCTTAGATGAGCACACATTTCTATTTACGTACAGTGTCTAGATTTGCCCTGGAAACATATGATAAGAGTGTGAATGTCCAGAGAGAAAGAAACATACGTAATCAGGTCCACAACATCATCGAACATCACGCATTCACAGGTGAAGGGTTATAGTGCGTGATTGAATTTCAATGGAATATTGCACCCAACTGCGCATCTTAAAAGACGGTTATGTGAAGGCTGAGCAATATAGAGATGGAGTTCTAGTGTGGAACTATACGCTGGAACAGTTGGTCCTAGTTTCTTCCATGTGCATGTTCTTATTGAGCTAATATCGTTAATGAGTATCCGAAGAGAGCGTATTTCTCACATGGAATGCCGCCGTATTCCCCAGACCTTAATTCCATTAAAAAATTCCATTAAAAATCTTTAGGATGTCCTCAGACGTGCTGTCTGTGCAGGTTTATCTTCTCTGTAAATCTCAGGTTAAAATTGTCCTAAGGCAAGAATAGTCATTTCTAGTATATGCGATGTTTTGCAGTTAAAAATCTCATTGAAAGTATGGGCAATCACTGTAAGATTTGTGTTAAGATCCGGGATGGTCACATACATTATTAACGTTGCTCGTTAGACGGGATGGCAACGTCTTTATTTCACTTTATTAACGTAAACTTATTTGCTTGTTTTTAGCTGTAAACATGAATTTGTTAATGACGCAAATGTGACATCCTTCGTATAATGTATGAAACTTAAATATTCATTTCATCTTTATCATACATAAATGCATTTGCTACGTTCAAAGGCAGTGTAGTGTTAATCAAAGCTTTACGTTTCCATTTCTGTTGATTTTACCGTCTCATTCTTAACTTTTGGAAGCCAATGTATTTAACCCGTTTATATAGCGTTCCAATCCTATATTTAAGAAATTGTTATTATTATGCTCAATTGAGATCTAGCTATCATAGAATGCAATACGTTTGCATTGTAATATTCTAGCTAAAATAGAGTTCTGTGAATGCTAGTACACTGAAGAACTGTGTTGCGAATATATGCTGAGTTCTTGTGGGTAACTAACAACTCCAGAAAAGTTAATTATCCTTTTATTCAAACAGATGGCCCGATTTCGGCTATCTTTAATCTTTTGGACTCAAAATAGAAAACATAAAACAAATCTAATGCTAAATAAAATTAACTAGCCGAAGCGCACAGAATCAAACTCGGGCAGCTGGCCAGCAGGCAGCAACTACGGCCATAGAGTAGTAAGCTTTAACTAATAGCAACAACGTAGCCGAAAGACAGAATACGCTCTTCTACTGAAATAACTCAGACCTCAGCTTAAATACTCATTTCTACCTTATTTGCATAAAGTGTAATACTGAAATTTCTTCCTTGCAAGGAAGCGTAGGTGGAAAATTAGAAGGTATAGGAAAGGCTTGTTCCAAAATAAAAATAACTATTAGGAAACTAAGGTAAAACCCTCAAGCATAAAGTGTTATATATGCGCTTTTGGGCATTTTTGTTTTGTTTACGTGTGGAGAGTTAAAGGAAGCTTGGCAATGTGTAATGTTGCATTGGTTTTGAAAATGCGACAGCGCTAATGATACTGAAAAGAAATTTTCATTGTGAGACTGATACTGCAAGTACTCAGATGGTTATCGTTCGGCTTTAGGAGCTCCTTGAGCTATAATTTTAAACTGGATGAGACGTACTATATCCATTACATACACAGATTTGATAAAGACTATGGCTGACGAAAATCCCCGATTTCAAATACTGAATTAGAGACTCTACAAAAAATTAGGGATAACTGATCAATAGGGAAGTGCTGCTCCTTTCGCCTTGATAACCATTGCTAAACGACAAGACATGGACTCAAAAAATCTGAGTTTGTAGAGCAGAGATAGTGGCTTGCTGAACGGTTGCTATCGAATGCAATTTAAGGATGTTTTTGAGAGACATCCGTACGTAAGAACAGAATGTAGGACTCTTTTCCCCCAAAACTGATTTAAAATGAATTCTGAAGAGATTTTGTTTTCGTGGCGTAAGTACGTACGTATGTATCTCGCATAACTCAAGAACGAATAGCCTCAGGAAGTTGAAAATTTGTATATAGGACTACTATAACATGTAGATGTGCATCACGCATTTTGGTTGCAATCGGACGTAGCAAATATATCTATATCCAATCTGTTACTCGGCTCAGTGAGCTTAGTGTTTTTATTCTTATATGTTTGTAAATTGTGC